ACCAATTGTAATTTTAACCCGTGTGAGATTCCTCCCCACACCATTACTGAACCGCCCACAAACCTATCCCTCTCTACAACGTAAGCGTCCGTAAAACGTTCGCCACGACGTCGGTAGACACGTTGACGGCCGTCAGATCGATAAAGACAGAATCGAGACTCGTCCGTGAAGAAAACTTGTCTCCACTGCCTCAGTGGAAACCGTCGTGGAGCATGTGCAGTGACCCAGGCCATACGACGCTGACGTCGAGCAGGGGTAAGGTGTGGACCTACGTAGGGGCGACGTGCTCTTACACCAACTTCTCGTAATCGATTCCTTACAGTTTTTGAACTTATAGGACGCCCATGATTTCCACGAACATTAAGTGCACTCTCAACGGCAGTAAGGCGCCGATTACGCACATGAGAGACGACGATATAGCGATCCTGACGTCACGCGCGGACGTCCTCACCTAGGTCGATCGGCCAATCGCCCAGTTTCCCGAAGACGTCTTACAAGACGTTCTATGGTGGAAACATTAACACCAAAGTGCCTAGCAACCTGATTTTGCAGCTGTCCTTGCATCAGCATCTGAATAGCCTGACCCCTCTGAACTTCTGTAAGTCGTGCCATTCTTAAAACGAATCAAATTCTCAATTAATTTTAGGGAAGCAGTTGGTCTGTATAAAGAATAACGACGAGTGACTTGACCAACTCTGCATGAGACCAGAACAACACGGTGCACGAGATTCTTGGTTTTTCCTTCCTCCATTTACCAGAGCTGCGCACTGTACCATGACTAAATTTTCGATACATGACAAGGTGTAATATGACCTAATTACTCAATCCACAAAGTTTCACTTTATTTGGAGAACGCGTTTTCAAAATATTGGAATAAATATTACCCTGCGTTTCTTTATCCTTTCAGTATATATTCGAAGCTCGTTAGTGTGATTTTCCTTGCGGTTTTATCGTTGTTGAGCTGGATGTTATCTGAGAGCGTGACATCACCAGAATTACCTGGAATCGAACAGCGAGTGTTGTAGAAATGATGATGATAACGATGAAGGTTTTTCTTCACCTTGACTCTGCCCGTGCAGAGTCCAATCGACGTGTGTCGATTCTCTGGCGACATAAAGTTGTAGAGGAGCGTAACACCTGGTTTTATAAGTCTTTGACTTTGTTCGGTATTACGCATGCAATACTTACATAATAATTGCATGCCTGTTTGATAACATATAAACATGTTGCATACTGTGCGCTATGTTTCTATATCCCGGACGTCATTTGCACATTTCTTGAATGTGGTAAATACTGCTGAGGTTTGTCGTTATTATCACGTCACGTATACAAATAAATTACTTTCTTTAAAGAAGGGAAATCTTTATTAACACCCTTTCCAAAAACTAAAATTATATTTTATAGGTTAGAACAAAAGTTATAGCACGACAAAAATACAACCAATGAGAATCAAAGAAACGGCAGACATGATTTCCTAAATTAGCATTCACTTATCTAAGGTCGCTAATCGAAACCTATGGAAGTTTCATAATTGTTGGATTTCAACGTCCAGAGAAAAAAATGCGAACAAGTTCTTCACAAAACTAATGAAGTAAAGCAATATCAAAACATTGCCTTTATTTCCGAATTTATTCATATTGTTTCCCATAATGAAAATTAAAGTGTACTTTGAACATTTTCCTAAATCAAGCTATACTTCAAAATATATAATAAAAAGTCAAGAAAGTGCTAATGTCGTTGTTAATTCCATTTTCAAGATATCATGATTTATGTAAAATGCACAAATATGAGTATCTGTAACATAATTAGTTGTAACAGCTCTAAAGGATTATACCGGGAAGTACTAAACACATAGAGAAATTAACAGATTGTACACACATGCTGATGCTATTTCACAATAAGTTGGTTCTCAATAAATATGATGAACCCTTCACGTCTTCAGGAAAAATGGAATTTCATATATAATTATGCTATCGAAATAGGGAATAAATAGTAACGATGCAAAGTAGAGCCTGTGACAAAAAGTATCCATTTCATTTGTGCATCATCAAAGAGCTGTGCGCTTCATTTCTTTTATCCACAACACTTTAGATTATGAGTTTCCGAAAATAAGTTTATTCATCTGCAACGACTGCATGTCAAAAGCACGTCTTTCATCTCCACACGTTATTGTTCACAGACATGTCTATCCGTTTTCAAATCTTCTCGATTTGCATATGTAGTTTTAGAGTAGATATATGGACATTTGAGCGCAAAAAACTGCTTTTAAGTCGAAGTAACAAGTCAGAAAATACCTTTTTTGATAAATAACAATAAAGATTCCCTATTTCATAAAATTGATGTTATTGTTATTGCTCTTGAGAACAGAGCTTACCTCAAGATAGAGCCATAAGACAACTACATGAGTTTACCCGATATTCTGGAACTAGCATGCAGAGTCTCACAACTGCTGGATCAAGCAAAGCTTAAGGTTCTGGTCATAGTAGCACAGAATAGTTATATGATGCAGTTTATTTCAGAATCTACATAAATTAATAAATTGTGTTTTGATTGACAGTTGATAATTAATTTTATCTTTTGCACAATTTTTTGAGATGAGTACTGGTGGAAGACACAGCTGGAGGAATTAAGTCCTTGAGGTTGACTAATCTCTGCATCAGCTTTTGATTCATCCGGACAGTGGACAAAGTCAGAATATACAAATGTACTTTATGTTCATTTGAAATTATTTTATATTGAAAATTGCGGGTTTGAAACACAGATACCTATAAAGTCAGGGGTTACAATGATTTTCTTGAAGCCACTTATCAAGCAGATTTTCGACAAGTCAGCCCAGTTAGCGTCTGATTTTCTAATGACATCTGGTTGTTATCCCATCAAAATTAAAAGGCAAGAATGTCATATTACTGAATCACAATATAAACACCTGTATCCATATGAAGAAAACACTTATAGAATGAACTTTACACCAAATGTCCACTAAAATTGTACTTTATACCAAAGATCCACCAAGACTTGAACGCAATACGCCCCGTAGAATGTTCTTTATATTAAATGTCCAACAATACGCCCCCGAGAGGACCATAATAGTTACACTGGATGTAATGTCATAACGTCACTAGCAGACATTCTAGGACCCGTAGAGGGGAAATCAGATCACATGTAAAACAAGTGAGAGACCTTGTAGAAAGTGTGCTCATGGTACTCATCAAATGCGCTCGATTCCACATTATGTGCAGTCTCTTAACACCAATACACCCTCTTAAAAAAAGCTCTTGGTATCATTCGGAGCCGCATAGAGCAAGATCGGTCCTAACGAAAAAGTACCATATCAAAGACATCATGGTTTTTTTTTCTAGAATTTGAACACAACAACATACTTTAACAACATACTTTGCCTTTCGAGATATCATCTATCAGCACTATGCAAAACCATGTTCAACCAAGTGTCTCCGATTATGTCACGTTTCATGGAGAACTTGAAGATATAGGATATAGCTATGGCCCCTGTAGAATGTCTGTTGAAACGACAGGCATGTTTGGAAAAAGTCACAGAAGCATTTGACTCTTCATATTGATATTGTAAATGTTATCTACAATATCAATATGAAGAGTCAAATTCTACACCAGTGAAGAAGAAATCGATGATACTATACCATTCTTTGACAACCGTCTAGTAAAGAAAGATGATGGTAGTATTGGTTTTGTTCAATAGATGCAAAAATATTTACATATAACAATACAAGCAGCAAGAACAAATTCACATCCATAGCGCTATGTGGATACCCTGATTGATCAATCAAGAATGTTAACTGCTAATGAGATGAAAGCAAAGACAAGACTTAGAGACGAAACAACACGTTTAAGATCAAAATGAACAGACCGGTAAGCATCCTTTATATGCGGTGCCTGATAGAGACCATTCGAAGGATCTACATTGACCATGGAACCTCACAAGTTTCGGATATAAGAATTGTGAGGTATCAGCAATTTCGAAAGAGTCGAAAAGGAAAACTACCTTTTTTCAACGACTAGTCAAGAAGGCTATCTGGATACGATGCATTGGACTAGTGTTATTCCAAGACACACGTAACTAAATAAATCATGAAATGTTTTAACTTAGTAGCATTAATAGTTCAACACTAGTAAAGACTGTCTAGATTCGTAGATATTTTCCTGTAAAAGGATACAAATGAAAGTAGGATAATGACATATCGGACAGTCATCGTCTTCGGATAATAACAACCGCAACCTTGTCTTTGTCTAAACCGCCCCACATACATTGGCATGTATTAAAGCTATACATTTTACATCTGTCTAAACAGCCCCACATACATCGGCATGTATTAAAACTATAAATTTTATATCTGTCTTAATCGCCCCACATACATTGATATGTATTAGAATTACTAATATTATTAAAACGATACATTTTATTTTGTGTTTTTACTGAATATAGGTAGTTATTTTGTATAAATCAGTCAATAATGTATGTTTTTACTGATTACTGAATATAGGTAGCTATTTTGTATAAATCAGTCGTTAATGCGGATATCGTACTGATACTGGTGGGATAAGGTGGAATCGCCTGAATATGGACAAGTACAAGGTTTCGTTTATCTAGATACGTTTATAAACAAATTCGTTCGTATGATAAAAACCTAACAGAACGGGTAAATAATTTTGTAGAAGACTATAAAATACATTGAGTTTTTTTACAATACTCTATTCTGTTTACATCAATACATCTTGATAAATATACTACTGAACCGTATAATCCTTGATCTTAGTATTCTGTTTCGTTTTTTAATAACTCCTATGTGAAGTTGGACATTAACATTCAATTGCTGGAGAATGATTCATATAGATTGTAAGCTTTTCGACTAACCATATTTAAAGTAAAATTATATCACCAATGACGGTCTGAATCTTCTCGATAACATGTCCTTTATCATTTTAAATAACTTATTTGAGTCAACAATTGGTAGCATGGCAAAATGTCAGAGCCTAGAGTGTAGAACTGATTTCCATGTTGTCGGAGTTAGGGGAGAATAAGTCTTGCTTGCGTTGTCCATATAATACAGTGGATCCTTGACCTTGTTAATGTCAAACCCTTCTTCTACTAATTCCAGTTTTCGGTGTTTCATCGTCTCCGTAACAATAAAACTCTTTTGAAAGCGTACAAAGATTGGCCTAGCATAATAAGGAAGATCTTTTTGACTTCTCTGGTACAACAATTGCAGCATGTGGGGAGTAACGTCTTTATTGTCCTTCATAGATATAGCTGCCATCCCTGCTCTTCCCTCGGTCCCTTAAGTAAAATAAAAGAGAAGGTTATTAACTCCAACAAATGATACAATAGTCTTTTAATATATATAATAATTACATGTTTCTGTCATCACTGTTCTTCCCTATGTCTGATCATAAGAATACATATATATAACACAAAAATCTATTAATATGTGTAACATATCGACGTCGTGTTTCTGCCATCCTTACTCTTCCCTCGGTCCCTTAAGTAATAGCAAATGGGACGATATCTGATTAAATAGATACTAAATATTCATTGCCGATGTTGGTTATGTGGGATGTAAATGTATACTTAATTGTCATTATCATTGTTAGGATGTTAATGTATACTTAATTGTTTTTATTAGTGGGATGTAAATGTATACTTAATTGTCAGTATCAGTATTCGGATGTAATTCTATACTTAATTGTCAATGTCAGGGTTGAGGATTTCAATGTATACTTAATTGTCAATGTCAGTGTTAGGGATGTAAATATATATTTAAATGTCATTCTCAGTGTTGGGGATGTAAATGTATACTAAATTGTCATTTTCGGTGTTAGGGACATAATTATGTACTTAATTGTCAGTATTAGTGTTGGATATGTAAATGTATACTTAATTGTCGTTATCAGTTTTAGGGATGTACCTGTATATATTATTGTCATTATCAGTGTTGGGATGTTAATGTACACTTATTGATCGTTATCAAGGTTTCGAATGTAAATGTATACTTAATTATCATTATCAGGTGGGGATGTAAATGTATACTTAATTATCATTATCAGTTTTGGGATGTAAATGTAAACTTGATTATCAATGTCAGTGTTGGGGATGTAAATGTATACTTACTTGTCATTTTCGATGTTGGGGACGTAATTATGTACTTAATTGTCAGTATTACTGTCGGATATGTAAATGTATACTTAATTATCATTGTCAGTGTTGCGGATGTTAATTTATACTTAATTGTCATTATCAGTGTTGGGATATAAATCTATACTTAATTGTCATTATCATTGTTGTGATGTAAATGTATACTTAATTGTCAATGTCAGTGTTGGGGATGTAAAAGTATACTTAATTGTCATTATCAGTGTTGGGGATGTAAATGTATACATTATTATCATTATCAGTGTTCGGATGTAAATGTATACTTAATTGTCATTATCAGTGTTGGGGATGTAAATATATACTTAATTGTCATTATCAGTATAGGGATGTAAATGTTTACTTAATTATCATGATCTGGGTTGGGAATGTAAATGAATACTTAATAATCGTTCTCAGTGTTGGGGATGTAAATGCATACTTAATTGTCTTTTTCGGTGTTAGGAATGTTAATATATATTTTTTATGGTCGTTATCAGTTTTGGGGATGTACCTGTATACATTATTGTCATTATCAGTGTTTGGGATGTAAATATATACCTAAATGTCATTTTCGGTGTTGGGAATGTTAATATATACTTGATTGTCATTATCAGTATAGGGATGTAAATGTTTACTTATTTATTATGATCTGGGTTGGGATGTAAATGTATACTTAATTGTTTTCAGTTAGTGGGATGTAAATGTATACATTAATTGTCATTATCAGTGTTGGGATGTAAATGTATACTTAATTGTCATTATCAGTGTTAATGTATATTTTTATGGTCGTTATCAGTTTTGGGGATGTACCTGTATACATTATTGCCATTATCAGTGTTGGGGATGTAAATGTATACTTAATTGTCATTATCAGTGTTGGGATGTTAATGTACACCTATTGATCGTTATCAAGGTTTCGAATATAAATGTATACTTAATTATCATTACCAGTGTTGGGATGTCAATGTATACTTAATTGTCAATGTCAGCGTTGGAAATGTAAATATATATTTAATTGTCATTCCCAGTGTTGGGGATGTTAATGTATAGTTTTATGGTCGTTATCAGTTTTGGGGATGTACCTGTATACATTATTGTCATTATCAGTGTTGGGATATAAATGTATCCTTAATTGTTATTATCAGTTTTTGTATGTAAATGTATACCAAATTGTCATTATCAGATTTGGGATGTAAATATCAACTTAATTGTTATAATCAGTGTTGGTATGTTAATGGATACTTTATTGTCAATGTCAGTGTTGGGGATGTAAATGTATACTTATTATCATTATCAGTATTGGGGATGTAAACGTATACTTAATTGTCATTATCAGTGTTGGGATGTCAATATATACATTATTATCATTATCGGTATAGGGAATGTTAATATACATTTAATTGTCGTTATCAGTGTTGGGGATGTAAATGTATATTTAATTGACATTATCAGTGTTGGGATGTAAATGTATACTTAGTTGTCATTATCAGTGTTAGGGATGTAAATGTATACATTATTATCATTATCAGTGTTCGGATGTAAATGTATACTTAATTGTCAATGTCAGTATTGAGGATTTCAATGTATACTTAATTGTCAGTATTAGTGTTGGATATGTAAATATATACTTAATTATCATGATCAGTGTTGGGGATGTAAATGTATACTTAATTGTCATTATCAGTATTGGGATGTGTAGGTATACTGAATTGTCATTTTCGGTGTTAGGGATGTAAATGTATACTTAATTGTCATCATCAGTGTTGGGGATGTAAATGTATTCTTATTTGTCATTATCAGTGTTAGGATGTAAATGTCTACTTAATTGTCAATGTCAGTGTTGGGAATGTAAATGTATACTTAATTGTCATTATCAGTATTGGGATGTGTAGGTATACTTAATTGTCATTTTCGGTGTTAGGGATGTAAATGTATACTTAATTGTCATTATCAGTGTTGGGGATGTAAATGCATACTTAACTGTCATTATCAGTGATGGTGATATAAAAGTAAACTTAATTATCCTTATCAGTGTTGGGGATGTAAATATATACTTAATTGTCAGTTTCGGTGTTGGAAATGTTAATGTATAATTTTATGGTCGTTGTCAGTTTTGGGGATGTATCTGTATACATTATTGACATTATCAGTGTTGGGGATGTAAATTGACACTAAATTGTCATTATAAGTGTTGGGATGTAAATGTATAATTAATTGTCATTATTAATGTTGGGATGTAAATGTATACTTAATTGTCATTTTCGGTGTTAGGGATGTAAATGTATACTTAATTGTCATCATCAGTGTTGGGGATGTAAATGTATTCTTATTTGTCATTATCAGTGTTGGGATGTAAATGTATAACTTAATTGTCATTAAGTGTTGGGATTAAATGTATACTTAATTGTCATTATCAGTGTTGGGATGTAAATGTATACTTAATTGTCATTATCAGGTTTGGGATATAAATGTATACTTAATTATCATTACCAGTGTTGGGATGTAAATGTATACTTAATTGTCAATGTCAGTATTGAGGATTTCAATGTATATTTAATTGTCAATGTCAGCGTTGGGGATGTAAATATATATTTAATTGTCATTCCCAGTGTTGGGGATGTTAATATATACTAAATTTTACTTTTCGGTGTTGGGGACGTAATTATGTACTTAATTGCCAGTATTAGTGTTGGATATGTAAATATATACTTAATTATCATTATCAGTGTTGGAGATGTTAATGTATACTTAATTGTCATTTTCGGTGTTGGGAATGTTAATGTATAGTTTTATGGTCGTTATCAGTTTTGGGGATGTACCTGTATACATTATTGTCATTATCAGTGTTGGGGATATAGATGTATACTTAATTGTCATTATCAGTTTTGGGCACGTAAATGTATACTTAATTGTCATTATCAGTGTTGGGGATATAAAAGTATATTTAATTATCATTATCAGTATTGGGGATGTAAATGTATACTTAATTGTCATTATCAGTGTTGGGATGTTAATGTACACTTATTGATCGTTATCAAGGTTTCGAATGTAAATGTATACTTAATTATCATTACCAGTGTTGGGATGTAAATGTATACTTAATTGTCAATGTCAGTATTGAGGATTTCAATGTATACTTAATTGTCAATGTCAGAGTTGGGGATGTAAATATATATTTAATTGTCATTCCCAGTGTTGGGGATGTAAATGTATACTAAATTGTCCTTTTTCGGTGTTGGGGACGTAATTATGTACTTAATTGCCAGTATTAGTGTTGGATATGTAAATATATACTTAATTATCATTATCAGTGTTGGAGATGTTAATGTATACTTAATTGTCATTTCCGGTGTTGGGAATGTTAATATATATTTTTATGGTCGTTATCAGTTTTGGGGATATACCTGTATACTTAATTGTCATGATCAGTGTTGGGGATATAGATGTATACTTAATTGTCATTATCAGTTTTGGGGACGTAAATGTATACTTAATTGTCAATGTCAGTGTTGGGGACGTAAATGTATAATTAATTGCCATTATCAGTTTTGTGATGTCAATGTATAATTAATTGTCATTATCAGTGTTAGGATGTAAATGTATACTTAATTGTCAATGTCAGTGTTGGGGATGTAAGTGTATACTGAATTGTCATTATCAGTGTTGGGGATAAAAATATCTACTTAATTGTTAGTATCACTGTTGGAGATGTAAATAAATACTTAATTATCATTATCAGTGTTTGGAATATTAATGTAAACTTAAATGTTATGATCAGTGTTTGGATGTAAATACATGCTTAATTGTCAATGTCAGTGTTGGGATGTAAATGTATGCTTAATTGTCATTATCAGTGTTGGTATGTAAATGTATAGGTAATTATCATTATCAGTGTTGGGGATAAAATTATCTACTTAATTGTTAGTATCACTGTTGGAGATGTAAATAAATAATTTATTATCAGTGTTGGGATGTAAATGTATCAATTATCATCATTATCGGTATAGGGAATGTTAATCTACATTTAATTGTCGTTGTCAGAGTTGGTGATGTAAATGTATATTTGATTGTCATCATCAGGTTTGGGATTTGTAAATATATACTTAATTATCATTATCTGTGTTAGGGATAAAAATATCTACTTAATT